CGATGTGTCGATCCTCGAATCGCTTCCCCGATCGCCTCCGCAATCTCTCCTCGATCTCTCGCTCGATCTCGCGATCCCCGAGCGCCCCCCGCGATCCTCGGCCCTCGATCGTCGACCCTCGATCCTCTATCGTCGATCCTCGATCCATTTTCCATTTCCACGATCTTCCATCTTCCATCCTCGTTCCGCCATTCTCGATCCTCGGCCCTCGATCGTCGACCTCGATCTTCGATCGTCTATCCATTTTCCATCGTCGACCATCGATTCTCCACCCTTGATCCTCGCCCCGGCCCTCGATTCTCGATCTCTTGCTCGATCTCGCGGTCCTCGGGCGCCCCCCGCGAACATCGGCCCCCGGTCTTTGATCGTCGGTTCTCGATCCTCGATCTTGGAACCCCGAACCATTCACCGTCTCCTCGATCTTCGGCCCTCGGCCCTCCGTCCTCGATCCTCGATCCTCCTCGAGCCCGATCCTCTGTCCTCGATCGTCGATCCTGGGTCGTCGATCTTCGATCCTCGATCAATTTTCCCTTTCTCGATCTTCGATCCTCGATCCCCCGTCCTCGATCCCGATCCGCGGTCCTCGATATTCGATCCCCCTCGGTCCCGAACCTCGATCCTCGGTCCTCGATCATCGACCCTCGGTCCTCGTTCTTCGATCCTCGATCGATTTTCCAGCCCCTCGGCCCTCGATCCCTGATCCCGATCCTCGATCCCGATCCTCGAACCTCGCCCCTCGATCCCCCTCCTCCTTCCTCCTCCTCCTGCTCCTCCGCCCCCTCCTCCTCGTCGAGAAAGTCACCCGGAATGCCGACGGCCGGATGAGTGCACGGGCGCGCCGTTCAGCGGCCCCATTCTTCCTCGGTCGACCGATTATCGATATAGCGTGCCTCGATACTCCGATTGCTCGACCCATCGATATGCGATCGACCCCGTCCGTCCTCGATCGCCCCTTGAGCCTGTCGGTCCTTCGGTCGATCGTTGATCGACCCATCGGCCCTCGATCAATTCTCGATCGGACCGCGAATCTGGACGGCTCGAGCCTGCGGCCCCCCCTCGATCCTCTCCCCCCCCCTCCATCGGTGGCGGGGGGGCGCGCTGCGCGGCCTGCTCGGCCGGGCCCCTGAGGCGCGGCGGCGCGAAGAAAGGCCGGGCCGCGGGGCTCTATTTGGGGCCGCCCGACATCGCCGTCATTTCGGCCTCCAGCGCGCGCCCGCGTCGTTGGGCCGCATCCTCCGCGCCCCCCGTAGAACGCGAACTCCCCGAGCCCGCCCTTGCGCGTTTTCTCGACGCTGGCCCAATCGATCTCTCCATCGAATTTCCGATCGATCATCGACCCGCGATCTTTCGATTATCAGCTCTCTCCGACCCCTGGCCCTCTCGCGCGCCCAGACTTATTCGACCCATGGCTCGCTCGGATCTCTCCGCCATCTTGGGCGCCGCGGCGGGCGGGCGGCGGAAGGGCGCGAACGGGGCATGCAGCGGTGGCGGCGGGAGGCCCGGGGCTTCCAGGTCTGGGGGCCTCAGAGGGTCTACGACGAGGTTTGAATTGATTTGAGGCTCTACATCTACAAGGGTCGTAGAGTGCTAAGTGCTAAGAACCTGGGGTCTGAGCGACTCTTAAAGGTCGAGGAGGGGGATCGAGGATCGAGCGAGGGATTTATCGAGGATCGATTGGTTCGAGGATCGAGGGAACGGGGATCGAGGCATCGATCGCGGGGGCGGTCAAGGATCGAGCGAGGGAACGATCGAAGATCGATGGAGTCGATCGAGGGTCGGGGGGGGCGAGGGTCGAGAAATCGATTGAGGGGTCGAGAAAGGGTCGAGAATCGAGGCTCGTGCGAGGGGTCGATTGAGGATGGCGGGGCCGATCGAAGATCGAGGGGCCGATCGAGCATCAAGAGGCACAGGGTCGAGCAATTGAGCGAGGGGTCGAGCTGATGGGGCTGGGAAGGGGGGGGGGGGGCTAGAACGCCGCGGCCATCCGTTGTCGGGGGCTCCGACGGCGAGCGTCGGCGCCCGCGCCCGCGCCGGCCGCGCGCGCGGCGGCTCTCGCGCCGGAAAGAGGCGCGCCGAAGTCTGCGCGCCTCGGGGAGTCGGGGCAGCCGCCTGCGCGCGGCAGGCAACCGGGCTGCCTGTAGCGGCCGCGAGAATCCTTCCACAACAGACCCAGCCCTGGGGCGCCAGGGCGCCCATGAATTTTCTGCGCGGGAACGCCGCGCTTTCCGCTGCAAAAACGCAGAAATCCAAGAACCCAGTGCGCCCAGGAAGCAAGCGGGGCGTTTCTTGAGGTGGTCTTCCACAGTGCGCGCGGCGCTCCTCCGCGCGACGCTCTGCCGGCTACTTCCATTGCGCTGCATCGCCTCCTGCGTCTTCCCGCGACGCCGAGCTGCTCGAGGTTTTAGATTACTGCTGGCTGTCCAAGGTGCCGCCCTGCTGCCCCCCCCCGCTGCTGCCGGCCGCCCTGCTCGGCCTTCTGGAGGCCCGCGGCGAAGCCCATCCGGTCGACGTCGTCGACGCGCAGTCCATCGAGTCGCGCGTCGCCATCTGCCGCGCTGCTCTTGGGCCTGCTGCGCCACCCAGTCCTTGATGCTTCCTGGCTCGCAGACTGGCGTCGCCAAGCTGCGCTCGCTGCACTCGGCGGTTGCCGCCGAGGCCGCGCGGCCTCCCTGGCCATTTCCAAACGTCTCGCGGTCTCCGTGGCGCTTCTCCTTCGCGCGGTACCCCATCGCGTCTTGCCGCGCCGCGCGCTGGCTCGGCCGCCCGCCCGCGCGGTCGCAAGCCGCGGCGCCGCCCCCCCAGTCGAGCTGCATGGTGATTGCCGTCCAGTCGATGATCGCCCAGGAGTCCGGCAGCGGCGACTCGCCGTCCGCCTCGGGCCAGTCCGGCATTGGCTCGCCCGCCAGAGGTGCGCCCGCGCGTCGCCAGCGGAGCTCAGCGAGAGCTTGACCTCCGCGATTGTCTCCTTGACCGCCGCGAACCCGCCCGCCCGCGGCCCCGTCTCCGCCGTCTTCGCGTGGAGCGGGAACCAGCTACCCCTACTTGGCTGAAGAGCGGCAACATCATCATCATCATCTCGTCCGTCTCCTGAAAAAACCAGGCGCCGTGACGTCGGCGTTGGCGCTGACGTCGGCGGCGCAATACAGGCGTTGGGCGGACGAGCTCGGGCGGCCCCTGAGCCGCGGGACCTGGGCGCCCAAGGGGGGAGGGGGGTCCGCCCGGGCCCGGGAATCATCTGGGCGCTAAACATGGCGCACTGCGTGCACAACCGACTGCAGCGAGGCTGTCCAAGCCGCCCACGGCGAGCCCGACGCGGCGCGATCGGCGCCCGCGAACCCCCGACATCGATGCAAGGGGGGCCCAGACGACGCCTCAATAAAGCAGCGTCAGCAATGCGCCTGGCGCGCGCGGGAACATGGCTGCATCGCACGAGTTGGCGCCCAGCGCCACAGGACGGCCCGCGACGCGACCGGCGGCGTTCCACGGCTGCCCGAGAGGCCCCCACGGGGGCCGCGAGACGACCCGAGAGCGCCGCAAGACTGCCCAAAATGCGACCGACGACGCGGCCCAAGAGGCGCCTCGGAGGGGCCCGCGAACGACCCACACGTGCGAAAGCGAACGGACACGCACCGCAGAGGCCCGCGAGGCGCCCCTCGCGATTGCGACCGCCGCGGGGGCCCTTGGCGGGGCCCCCTGGGGCCGCGCGACGTTGCGCTGGGCGGGGGGGGAGGGCGCGTGGGCGCCGCCGCCGGGGCCTGGGGCGGCGCCCCCTGTGGGCCAGACATGATGCAATGGGCGCGCCGAAACGCGCGGCGATGACAGCGATGACGTCGGCGATAGTGACGACGATGATGGTGGCGACGGCGATATTGATGATGCCGATGGCGACGCCGACGCCGACGGCGACGCTGATGACGATGAGGGAGGGGGAAGGGAAAGGGTTATGCTGGGAGGAGGTGGAGGAGGAGGAGCGAGGAGACGCCGGGCGCTCTCTCTTCGCAACGAGGACCCAACGCCGCAGGATGTTGTTGGAAACTCCAATTACGCACAATAATTTGCCACGGGAGCTAATTGGCTACACGCTGCGAGTTTTCCAACGACATGTAAGTTTTGCCGATGAGAAACGCATAATGTGGCACAATCGCATCATAATTGTCGCATTCCAGTTGCGCGAGCACAGAACTGGCGCAACGTGCAGTTTAAGATGGCTACCTTTGTGTAGCTGCTGCTAAATGCATGCGTTCGATAACCAAAAATATATGGCCGTGCGCTGCTTCGCATAGTGCGCACTCATCTCTACACATTAGCCATTAGCCATAGGGGCACATCGGGCATACAATGTTCAATGCATTGGATAGGATTGGGCAATGATCGGACAGTGGATGGGGAGCGGGGGAGGGGGCGGGGATTCGAGGATCGTGGGTCCAACGGCGCCTCCTTCAGTGGATGCAGCCGCTGCGACGACGAAGACAGCAGTTTCGGCCCGAGCCATTATGGCGAACGTTATTCAGCGGGCGCGCGGTGCGCGGGACGCCATTCATGGCGGGCGCGAGCGGGCGGCATGGCGCGCGCAGGTTCGAGGGGAGCTGGCACTCGCGCGCCCGCAGTCGGTGGCGTTCGAGGACGGGGGCTGGCAGGGCGCGCCCGATTTGGAATGGGGCGGCGACGGGCAATCCTGGCGGCGCAACGCGCGAAGTGCCACGGGGGCTCGAGCGGCGCCAGATCACTCGGCGACGCCAAATCATAAGAGCAAGGCAGAGGGAACATGGCATCAGTTGGGCCATTTCGCGCGCGGTTGGACAGCGCATCGCCCGCTGTTTCGCGGACATCGGTGACCTCGCCCCAGCGCGGCATAACCCACGTCAGTTGGCGCTGCCAGTGGCGGACCAGCAAGCTGCACCTCCAGAGCCACGGGCCCCTGCAGGGCGCCGCGGACAACGGGGGGGCTGAATCGCAAGGGCAGCCATCGCCGCCAGCTGGACCTCCACCTCCCCCAGCAGGACCTCCAGCAGGACAGCGGGACAGCAAGGCGCCCAGTAGGGCAGCCAGCACCTCCAGCGCAGCTGTCGACCACCGACACGCTGCTGGAGACCATCGCCGACGGGGTTGCCCATGTGGGATCGAAGTCTGAAGCCGCGGCCCAGGCCACCGATGAGCCCAACCTGCGTCTGCAGGAGACCTCGGACAAACTGCAGCTGGCGGTCGACCGCGCCGCGGAGACCAACGTGCTGACGAGGGGGGGTTCCAACCGACTGCTGACGAACAACGAGCGACTGGCGACCCCCAACCAGCTGCTGACGACGGCCAACCAGCTGATGACCGCGGCCAACGACTTGCTGATCAGGGGCTGAACACTGCTGACAGGCTGCGCGGAACGGCCATGCAGGCCGCGCGCGCGGCGCGCCATGGCGCGGGGCCCCATCAGTAGGTCGGCCGCGCGTCGGACAACGCATCGGGCTCGGCATCGGATTTCGCAGCGGGCAAGACACCACCCGCCGGTCCATTCATCGTGCATCGGACGATCTACATCGAGATGTTTGTCGAGCTGCGTTTGTGTCTGGTGGTGGGGTGGCGATGCGCATCGTCGGGATATGCATTTCAATGATGGGAGAGAGCGCTGCGGGCTTTTGCCCCGACAGCGGCGCATCGCCGACGCGCGCCGCGCGCGCGCGGCCCCGGGGTCGCCCCGCACATGCGCAGCGCTGCTTTGCCCCGGCGCGGGGCGCATCGCCGGGTGCCCAAGTGGGCCCAACCTTGAACGTGCAGCGCGTCCAAATCCACGCCGCCCACGCCCTGCGTTTCCACGTGGGCGCTTTGGATCTCTGGGGCGAGGAGCGAGGGGGCCACGTGTGTTCTTGCTCTCTGAATGTTATGCTTTGGATTCTAGGAGCTCCCGGGATGGCTCTCGGGTTGGATTTTCGCTGGGGGGGGCGCGGAGGCGCGCCCCGGACGTCTGGAAGAGAGCGCATTTCGCCCGCGCCCATCCCAGCTGCCCCGGCGCGTTCGCGATCGGGCCCCGAGGAGCTCATCTGATTCTTGCTGCAGCCCGCGACGGCGATATCGGGTTTGCTCGCCTCGCGGGCGCGCGACGCCGCGGCGCCCGGAAACGATGCGGCATAGGGCGACAAGAGGTCTGTCATCGATGGAAGTCGTTGCGCCGCCGATTCAAGTCCAGGGTCGGGTCGAGGGATCTCGAGCCCGAGCCAACTCTTCGCGCGTCAGAGCGGGGGTGCCCGAACGGTCTCACTCATGCCTCATGCGCGCGCGGCCGTCGCGAGTGGGCTGGTCGTCGCTCGGCGGGGGCCTGTGGGCGGGGGAGGGGGCTGGGCGTCGGGGGCGCTAGGTTCTTGGGTGGGGCGCCCCGGGGCCCGGCCCCCGGGCGGCGGCGCGTTGGATTTCGCGCGCGCGCCGAGCCGCCATCGCTCGCATCCGCAACTGCGCCGCGGGGCTAGGCATCTCGAGTGGATGCGGCGGCGGCGTGGCCCAGCGCCGCCGTCGTCGTCGTCGTCGTCGTCGTCGTCGTCGCCGGGGCCGTCGCTCTCGGGGTCGCGGCGCAGTCAGGTCGACTCTAGCCGCGCCTTCTGAGCTCCGAGCCCCCGAGCGAGAGCAGCGCCTTCCCCGGGCGCCGCCGCTGCCGCCGCCCCGACGCCGACGCCTGCGGGCCGAGAGAATGCGAACGCGCGCGCGGCCACGGCGCGGGCCCGGAACGCCGCGAACCCTTGGCCGCCCCGAGAGGGAGAGAGGAGAGAGAGAGAGAGAGAGAGAGAGAGAGAGAGAGAAAAGAGAGAGAGAGAGAGGAGAGATAGAGAGAGAGAGGAGAGAGAGAGAGAGAGAGAGAGAGAGAGAGAGAGGGAGATAGAGAGAGAGGAGAGATGAGAGAAAAAAGAGAGAGAGAGAGAGAAAAAGAGAGAGAGAGAGAAAAAGAGAGAGAGAGAGAGAGATAGAGAGAGAGAGAGAGAAAAAGAGAGAGAGAGAGACAGACAGACAGACAGCCAGACAGAGACAGAGACAGAGAAAGAAAGAAAGAAAGAAAGAAAGAAAGAAAACATAGAGAGAGAGAGAATGATAGCCAGACAGAGCCGGATAGAGAGAGAGAGAGAGATCGGACAAGTAGGCGGACCAGGGTCCGTCCGCGAGGCGCACTGCGGTGCGACAACTCGCAAGCACTATTAGCGGCGGTGCAGCCTTAAGATACGAGGGCGGGCTACAAAACCCCCTCCCCCGGCGCAGTGCGACTGACGCTACAGACGGCGGACAGACGATGAAGATCTCACCTGACAGACCGCGTGAGGTAAAAGGCCCCAACAAGAAAGGCGACGTGCTGGCACGTGGCTAGGCGGCTTGGCGGACCGCCAGTTGGGCGCTTGGCCGCTAAGCGGCGCGCAGTGACGGGGCACCCCCCGCCCCCACGCCCTGACACCGTGGACGCGGAGCCACACGTACACACGGGCAGGCAGAAAGGAGGGGATCAGCGCGGGGCACCAGGTGGAGCGCCGCGGAACGATGACAACATAGCTTGGATGTTGAGTGACGGCACGACACCATCGGGCGAGGTGGTGAGCAGCTCGGCGAAGGCTCGCCCAGCGCTGTGGAGGCGCTGGAGTAGAGGACCTTGACGAGCTTGGGCAGCGGCGAGGTCCGCGGCGAGAGCTAAGCACTTCTGCTGAAGGGCAGCCATAGCCTGTGACAGCTCGGTTTCACGGTCGGTGAGAGGTGGCTGCTCAGTGACATCCGCCGAGGATCTCGAGACAGAGGCGAGGTCCTCGGTACGCCTGTCCAGGTGGGCTAGCGGCGTGCGGGACCCTGAATGCTGACGTCCGTCACCGTTAAAAGGTGACTGGAGGGGCCGGCGCGACCCCAGGGCTGGAGCCGCTAGGGCCGCGCCCCGAGAGGTCAGGGGAGCCGCATCCTCTCGCTCAGCAACGGAGGAAGCGTGGGTGGGGCACGAGGGCCTGTTTGGTTTAGTACCCTGCGGGGGGGCTGAAGCCGCCCCCGCGGGTCGCTGTCGATGGGGAGGTGAAGTGGTGTGCGCGGTGGGGCCAGTCGTGATGCCGTGCAAGGCCGCTGAGGTCGGTCGCGTAGAGGGTTGGTGACTCGGTGGGGCGGCATGGTCGGCAGCGTGTGGTGTCGGCGGTGCGTCCTCAATGCCACCCAATCCTCGGGGGGCACTCGGGTCGTGGTCGGCGTCCTGGCGGGGACCGATATCATCGTATGTGGGCTTTAACGCTCTTGGGGACGGCGTCGCAGTAGGGTTTGCGAGGTTTCCCGACGGGGCGGGGTTTTCGTTGGCTGGTCCGTCGTCCAAAGCGTCCGATCCCCCACCGAGGCTGAAAAGGTCATCGTCCTGCTCATCAGCGTCTTGAAAAGGAACGGCGTTGTCATGTGGGTGGGCTGACGCACTCAATGGCGGAGTCGGGGGCGCCGTGCGGGTGCCCGCCGGGGCAGGGTTGGCGCTGGCTGACTCGTCGCCCAGGAAGTCCAAACCTCCACCAAAGCCGAACGGGTCGTCCTCCTGTTCGTCGAATAACCCCCGTTGGGCCTCGGCCCAGAGCTCGTCGGGGTTTTGTGGGATGTCTGGTCCAGCCGCGGGTGGAGCCTGGTCAGACAGCAGGGGATTTGGTTCCATTTTGTTTAGTTCTGCAACAGTGAACCCAGCCCTGCGGTGTGGGAGAGGAAGAGTACGATGTCTCCGCTCGTAGATGGCAACGGCGACTCCATGGAGCACGGTCGCTTGGCGGTGTCGTGCTTTGGCAGCTTCAACGATGTCGTCTGGGAGGTTATGAGTACGTGCCGCCGCTGTGGCGAGGGCGTCAGCCTGACGATTGAACTCCTCCGCGATGGGCCCGATGAGCCCGAGGTCGATGCCCGTGTCGCCCTGGTGGCTAGCGACTTTCTCTACGCGGAACATGTTTGGCTTGGCCATGACACATCGGTGGACCTTTTCCCAGAACTCCACGTGCGTGCCCTGCGGAGGTGGGTGTCCGTCGATGATCCTTTGGAAGCCGTCGACCACCGCTTGGTTGTCGACGAAGACGTGTAGGGGCCGTTCAGCACATGCCGTGAGGTGGACAATGGCGAGGGTCTCCGCAAGCTGTTTGTTCTGCGTGATGCCGTGAACGCGCGCACTGTAGTTCATGCGGTGGTCGATGCCGTAGTAGACGCCGTAGCCCGCTCTTGCAAGCAAAGGGATGGCTTGGTTGGTGCATGCACCGTCCGTGGCAGCGTAGACCCATGTCCAACAGTGTCGTGGTCAAGGTAAGTGGTGTAGGAGTCCTGGGCTGAAGCCGCAGGATCTCCCTCAGGCGGGGGCCGCGGTATGGGTTGAGGTAGCGGGTCCCTCGCGAGGTCGGCTTGCAGATCGAGGAGGGCTGGGTCCTCATCGAAGAGCCCGCAATGTCTTGTGTGCGGAGGAAGACGTGCCCACTGCTCGTCACTGATGAGGGTGATGAGAGGGACTCTTTCACGGGCCCAACACTTGCAGTCACGCACAGTGTGCTCCTGAGTTTCTTCTTCCTCATCACAGTAACGGCAAATAGGGCTGGGATCAGCGGACGTATTTGATCGAGAACGTCGCTGTTGGGTGTGGTCCCCGCCCGACAGGTAGTTTAAGAGGAGCGCCAGCTGCCATGCGTTGCATTTGGCAGCTCCTTTGGTGCGGGCGAGCCACGTGCTGGCGAAAAGGTCGAGGCCCTGTCTGACCGAAGCAAGGTGACCAAGGTCATGACGCCGTGGCTTGATTTTTCTGAGAAAGGCCCTGCGTTGCGAGGCGCGCAGCATGTGAAGGAAGGCGTTTTGGGGAAGGTTCAGCCAACTGATCTGACAGCCCCAGTCGTCGTACATGGTGCCAAATGTGGGCCAAGTCCAACGGAGCTGCTGAAGCGTCTGAACAAGTCGTCCAACAGGTCCTCCGCCAAAAAGGGTCTGGACATGGTGTTGGAGATCCCTGACGAGGCCGCAGAGAGTGGCGTCGCGGTTGACCTGTCGCCGCAGGCACAGGAAGACTTCACGCTGCTTAATGGCGTCAATCTCCAGGGCGTGCCCTGGGACGCACACGGCCATGAGAGTCCAAAACTCGACCCACCTGTTTCCCTTTGGGCGGATAGCCGCCTTAAGGGCATGGTTGTAGGCAGTTTTGACGGGGCCTGATGGGGCTTGGATGTCAGTGCCCGTGGTACAGACGCTGGCAGCAAGGGAGCGGGCGTGCCGCGCCTTAATACGCATCGGAGATGGGAGCTTGCCAATACGCGGCAGGCGACTAGTCGCCCTGCGAACACGGGCATCAGCGGTGGCCGTGAGGTTGAGCGCGGCTGGGGCCGGCGCTGCCTCGGCGTTGATGTAACTTCCGA